GAAATTAAATTCTCATACTAAGCATAAAGTGCTTGTTTGAGTTCGTAAATAGCCTTGTTTAATGTAGAATCATGAGAGCAAAGTTTTCATTTTCAAAATTAGGAGATTGTTCCACATAAATTTTATCACTAATTATGCCATTCCGAAACACACTCTTAACATCTATTTGATAAAACTGTATTTTACTAAAGGTAGAAAATGACAATAATATTCAAAGGGCCTTTAGTCAAGCAACAAGAGCAGAGGTTTTAGTAAAGTCTAAACCTTATTGTTGTAAGAACCCTTAGATTATGAGTCTAACCTTATTTATCACAACTTTACCAGCTTCATTCAGCTTATTCCTGAAGACCCATTTAGTTTCTATTATTGACTTGTCTTGTTGAAGAGGAACAAGTTTCCAAATATCATTTTTCTAAAACTAATCTATCTCTTCTTGTTTGGCTTTGATTCATCCTTCACCTTGGAGTACTTCATCTATAGTCTTTGGTTCCATATCAGAGATTAGGGTTGTGTTATCTTTTTTCTTGAGAAGTTGGGAGAATTTCGTTCTCCTCACAAAATCTTTGAAAACTTTCATTTTCAAATTCACCCATATGATCATTTTAGATAGAAGGAATGCATACACCTTTTTTTTTGTTTTAATCCCTTTTGCAAAATATATAGAAGAATTTAAAAGACTTAACCTTGTGGGTGAGAAATTGAACTCATGTCTATCTAGTATAGTCGTCCACAACCCATAGCCTTTACCACTGAGGGATGCAATTTTGGTTGGACCAAACAAGTCAATGTGTAGAAGTTCTAAAGGCCTAGAAGTGAAAATAACATTCTTTGAATCAAAGGATGATCTAAATTGTTTCCCATTCTAGCAAGATTCACAAAGCTCACTAGAGTTGTAAGTAAGATTTGGAAGTCCTCTGATGAGGTTATGCTTCATAAGCTTTGAGATTAATCTCAAGGTAGCATGTCTAAGCTTTTTTGCCACGTCCAATGGTTTTCGATTAAAATAAAACATTAAACATTTTGACTTGTTAGTTTGTTTAGCTTAATTTTGTAAAAATTATTCTATATATTTGCAAGAAAAAAAATTGAGTCAAATAATTGTTATTGATTATACATTTATCTTTATTAAAGAACACATCAAATCCATTATCCAACAGTTGACTTATGCTATGTAGATTGTTTTTTAATTCATCAAGATAAAGCATGATATCAACAGTGAGGGAAGACGATATACCTATCTTATGATCTTGCCTTTTTGATTCCCTCCAAAAGTGACTTGACCATCACCATTGGATCTATGACTTTGGAAGATATACCTTTCTCTTGTCATGTGACACAAGCATTCATTGTCTAGGTATCATGACTAGAGTCCTTTTCTTACTATCAAAGAGATTTGCAATATGAATTATTTTCTCTTTAGGTACCCAAGTAAACTTTGGTCCTTTATCCATATTTTCAATACATCAGACAAACTAGGATAAAATGATGTTAAGGGAATCCATTTTCTTCTTAAGTTTATCAATTTTTTCTAGAGTGTAGATTTTTCAAGAGATGTTTCAAAATATTTGCATTTTCCTAAAAGCTTTTCATTCTCCTTTTTATTAGTTCATGATCTCTTGATAAAGTTGTAAAATGTTTCTTATGATCTTTACAAGCACTTGAAATCTTAAAGAAATCAACAAGCTATTGATTATGACACGAGGATTTCATCATTCAATTAGTTTCTATTCTTGTTAGTTAGTTTGTTAGGTCCCTATATATATGTGTGTGATTCTTTGTTACTAACAAAGGAAGTTGGAACGAGAACATGAAAGCTAGACTAGCAGACACAACTGTTGTGATTGTGTTTGGTAATCGTCTAGTGTAATTATCACATAATATGAAATCAATATACCATTTATTTTCTTCATCTTTTTATATTCTTCCTTGATTTTGTGTCATTTTCTTTACTTAATCTTTCACAACACAAGCAATTCATGAAAGCTTCTTGCATAGCTAAACATTCATACATGTTTACCTTTCAATCTTATCTGACTCTTCGCTAGAGCAAGTAGGTTCATCTACATTGGCCCTGAGATATAGTTTGACTTCTTCATTTGTTTTCTCTTCAAATAATGAGAGATCAAGATCTTCCCTTGTAGCCATCAAGCCCTTATTCTACTTTTTCTTGAAGAAAGCATATTTTTTCTTACTATTTTTTTCTCATAATCAAGATATTGAAACTTGAAGTGGCCTAGCTTTTGCATTCATAGCATATGGCCCTCAAAATCTTCTAACATTGTCCTTATTTCTCCTTGAGCATGGAATGGATCTTTCTAGAGATATAAAAATATCTCATCCGTAGAGTCAAGTTCCTCCTCTTCACTTTGTTCTACAAAGAACTCTTCAGCCTTCATGACTTTGGATAAAGACCCACTTCTTGGCTTTTGAATGCTAAGAGTAAGAGGCTTTCCCTTCTTGCCAACCTCTTCTTATTAAAGTTCCAACTGTGTACCTTTAACAATCCTATCAACTCTTCAAGTGATAGTTTGTTTAGGTCTTTGGATGTTTGAAAGGCTATAACCTAAGGTCTCCACTATTTGGGTAAACTATGTAAGAGCTTGTCAATGTGATCAAATTTTATCATAAGTTCAACATAAAAGGGATAGTTCATTGTCAATAGTTTGAAAGTTTTCAAACATGGTTTAAATATTTTCATTTTATTCAATGGTGAACTATTCACACTTACTTGAAAGTAAGCTAAGCTTGTTGCATTTTACCTCTGTGGATCGCTCATATGTAAGTGCTAAAGTGTCCTACATTTGCTTGACACTCTCGAAGTTGTGTACTTTGGTATATTCATCCTTACATAGGGCACACATGTTGGAGTTATAAGCATTTGAGTTAAGTAAATATATTTGCCTTTTTCATCGTTTCAATTGGCTTTTGGAATTTCCCTCACATTTTTGTCAAGGAATGTCTTTTATGCTCTCTACTACATCCCACATGTCTATGTGGCAGGCACCAACTATCATCCACAACTTCTAGTAGTCATGCATGACTTCTTTGAAGAAAGGTGGATGACTCATGCTTGTCCTTCTTTTTTCCATAGGATCATTTTTCCTAGATGATTAGATGCTCAACTCGAAGAGGCCAAGCTCTAATACCAACTAAAAGAGAAACAAACATGCAAAAAAAAAAAGGTTGAATGTATGTGATAAGATTTTTGCAAACCCTTTTTGAAAGACTCATAGTTGAGTTTAAAAACATTTTTTCTAAAATCAAGTGAAGACAAAAACAAGAAAAACACTTACCATCATTATTTTTTAATCTGTTTAGGCTTTGTTTAAAGCACAAAAATATTGAGGCAAGTTTTGAAATTGCATAAACTAGCAAGTGGATATGCTGACCTAGCGTATTTGATGTTGGACGTAGGCTTTTAACTAGATGCTAACAAGCTCAATTTTACATGCTACTTTTATGCATTAGATAAAGCTCTATACATCACGAAATTTGGAGGACAAAACAATGCCATTTTCTCACAGGTCTGGAAAGTCAAAGTTACACCTAAGGTGACATTTCTAATATGGAGGATCATTTGTAATACTTTACCAACTCTTGAAAACTTAATTAGAAGGAGAGTTCTACCAGAATCAGTGGATAGTTCTTGTCCCTTCTGGCACTTAAATCTAGAGTCGGTGTCACACATTTTTTTCTCTTGTCATGAAGTATATGGGATTTGGAAAGAATGTTTTTACTGGTTTGGGACTCATACGGTTTTGCCTAATGATCCTACTCTACATTTTAATCAAATTCCATATAGTTTGGCATTTGAAGTGGAGAAACAAAGATGGAAAGTAGTATGGTGTGCTAACACGTGGTGTATCTGGAGGTATAGAAATAATTGTGTCTTTAATGGAAATGCCTTAGACAAAGAAAAACTGAAGGAGGATACACTTTTCACTTCATGGTCTTGGCTCATATCCTCCCAACTTTTGGTAGACTACTCGTTTAATCAATGGGTGGTTAATCCAGGAGCTTGCCTATCATCATCATGTGCGAGAGGGTAAAGGAGGTTACAAAATATTGTATCCTAAATTTAGGATTTAGTATGGAAAGAGCTGGGGGATATTATAGCTGTCATAATCAAAATTGGCGGGTCGAATAGGGAGGGGAGTTATGCTAAGGAGAGAAGGAAATGGTTCAATTGAAAAGTTAATTTGGTTTTATGTGGGTGGACAGATTTCGATAATCTTCTACCTATCTTATGTATATGGGTTTTGGTACCCCTTGTACCGGTATATATAATAATATAAATATTTGTTGGCTGATAAAAAAAAAGTATATTTAATCTAAAATCATTTTGTCTCCATAAATCTTCTCTTCCATGCATATTTCCTATAATGACTTAGTCCAAGAATTAGTATATCCTAATTTTGTTATCATCAAACTCGGAGTGTTAGACGTTCATAAATGTCTTTGATTCAACATAAATGAGAGAACACCTATATAAATTAACTTATATGGAAGAAGCTTAGTTCATTTTCCGTTCTTATTTTCTTCACTTATAAGTGTTTATCAAAAAGTTTATCAAAATATAGTTTTATGCATTTCAACTTAATTATATAAATACTGTCTCACTTATTTGTTTTTAAAAAAATATTCTTTAATGCATAAATTCATTCTAACTTATGAAAAAAATTTGCTTTTTTTTTTTGGTACAAAACTAGAATAGCGTCTATAAGTTTAAATTATTATTATAAAAATGTTTCACTTTAGACATCAAAATTAATGATTTTCAAATCGTGATTTTTTTTAAGAAAATTGAAAATGAAAATTGACATAAGATTTTAGAAAAATCGTATTTATGCAATAGTATAATTACATTGTATAGTGTATCAAACATTTAAAAAAGTTATAAATGCTATATATTGAAGAAAACAAATAACATTTTATTATGTACTACTCTCGTTGTTGAGGAAAAATATATTGATTTGTGTTACATGTTGTATTAACTGCAGATAAACAAGCCAAATCTTCCAATGGCATCAGGGGAGTATTCCCTTGGAACTGTTACCATTATTGTTGCATCAAGTCTTATTTTGGTATTTATATAAAATTGCCCTTTCTGAAAACTTTAACGTACATCATGTCTCATACTTGATTTTTGTTGTTATTAATATAAAATTCTTTTTCTATTTATTTTAGAGAGCCAATTAACTTGTTATATTATTAATGCTCTATTTCTTAGTATAAATTTAGACATGCAATTATGAATATTTATTTACACTTTTGTTTGTTTTATTTTCTTTTTATTATTTGAAATAATATGAGAATTAAAAAGTTGTAATAACACAATATGATTTCTTTCTCTATGTATATGCTTTAGTGATACTACAAGAGTTGTTCAACCAAACACTTTTACAAACTAAGAATTCATAGTCATTTCATTTTATATATAAAAAAAAATCATTTTTTTATATACTTTGTTTAGCAATCAATTTGTTTTCTCTAAAATGTTGATCTTATCTTTATTAGAAAAGACTATGCTCTTTTAGAGTTGTCTAATGTAATGATTATTAATCTATCTGATATCTTTACACTGACTCTTGTCTCCAAAACATTTCATTAAAATTATAAATTTGTTATCCAATCAATGAAAATCTTATGACGGAATTTTTACTTCTTTAATTTGGTTCCACATGGCATCTATGACAAAGTTTGATAGCAATAATTTCAATTTTTTGATGTTCTTTTTCACGTTATATATTGTTCAAGATAGCTTCATTAAGTTTACTAAGGTTAATCATTTTATTCTTCTTTACAGAGTTTTGGGCTTGGATGGATTGTAGGTTCACTGCCATTACTTTGGGTTATTTCCTTCAATTTTATTTTTTCATCTGCTTATTCAATGAAAGTGAGTTCTTTTCGAGGACATTTGAATTTCCTTTTTTCCTTGATATTTTTTAAGGCATAATTATTAGGGTTCATGATACAATTTTGTCATTGAAAATCAGCAAGAGCTTTATTAGAGTTGAGGGAACTAGGAAACAAATGTGATATGCAATAAGTAGCATCTTAGGAGACCTTTACTGTACATCTATATATAAGTACTTCTCAAAAAATTAAAGCTTAATTAAAGACCTCATAACTTATTTAACGAAAACATGAAAACATAAAGAGGAAAGTAAAGGGCAACTGGTGTACCCTACAGATCTCAAATAACTGTAAAAAAAAAAATCTTTAGGCAAGAAGTATAAAGTCTTAAAACTACGAATCTATAAAGGTTATAAGATATAAGCATGAAGACTCATTCTACTATTATTTCCTCACTCTTTACTTTGAAACATGATTGAATAACGAGGGAAATCAAAGAATGTCCTTGGGGCACTACAATAACACATAACATACAGGCATATTCATACTTTAACTATCAACTATAAAAATAAAGCAATAAGACAAAACAACAAACATTATATTTAATAATGCATTAAAACTTCATTTAAATATCTTTTTTACTTAATTTTTTCATCCTTATGACAAATTTCATTTGAAAATTTCAAGGGATATCCCTTTATATTATCATACAACTTTCTCCTATTAAAAGTTGATACCACCCTTTGTGATCCATTTGAGACAAATATTCCTCTCTTTCAATGGAGATGTTATGTCTTAAATTCTCCTTTTAAATTGATCATCCTTTGGAGAATATTAAAGAGATTATTATCCTTCACTTGTCAACAGAGACTCCTCCACATAAATAACACACAATACACTCATGTAACTTTTGCATATATAGCAAGTATATCACTTGAAATACATTTAATTAAAAAATCCATCACTTTTCATTGTTAGGGACTTCAACATGAGTGTGCTTGGTGAAACATGATCGTACTTAATTTAAGCCACTAATTGTGAAACCCTTGTACAAATGATTATGCTTGCTTCCAACATGCTCCGGCTCTATAGAATGTATTTGAAGCACAATTCCAAAAACACCTACAAGTCAAGCTTCCTTTAGTACAACCGTGCTCATTGTACGTAACTATATGTTATTTTCTTTAATAATAACCATTAAATGATTATCTTCTCCTATAAATAAAGCCACCACTCTTTTTAGTAACTTTCATTATTTTTTATTTTTAAATAAATATTTAAGGACACAAAATGTTTTTTTTCCCTATTCTATACTAAATATTATATACTATACTATATATAAAAGGGATAGTGATTATGTAATTTCTTTTTGGTCTTTACATATTTTAGATCATTATACTCCATATAATTATTTCACTCATTATTATTTAACTTCTATGTTATCTCACTTTTTTTAACTCTCTAATCTTTTAGAATTCTATTTTTATTTTATTTTTATCTATATTATTTATTTATATAATTTATATTTATTATCTATATAATTATGTATAATCTAAAATCTATAATAATAGATTTAAATTCAATATTTATTTTATGTAATACCAATCTATATATTATATATAGTCCTGACTTATAGTCTATGCCTTTTCCTATCTCTCTCTTTGACTCCTTCTATCTATAATGTTAGTTTTTGGATCCTTCCGAAGTTCAATAGAGACCTCTTGCTCAAACACTTCAAGCACAACAATCCAGTTTTGTTTGAGATAGTTACTTTTGTTTTTCCACTTTATAATTCTCAATTTCATTGCATTTTGCAATTTTGGTATGTTTGTTTTCTATTTCTCTCTCTCACTCTATGTATCTAAGACGTGAAATATGTCTAAGGAAACATAACATCTCTTTGTTATAGAATAAAAATACTTTGTCTATAACAACGGGCGAATGAGCCAATAGATGAAATACTTTTTATTTAAATAAAATACATATAAAGGTATGGAATGTCTTGAATTTACTAATATATATATATATAAAGGAAATATCCCCTATTTTAGTTTTCACTTTTTGAAGATGATTATTCTCATAATCAATCATAAGAAATAAGGATATAACTACCCACAAAGACGTAATTACCCATTTATTTTGCCTTATTATTATTTTTTCAATAAAGGCGCATATTGTCTCTTTTTCCTGTAATAAATAAAGATTTAGTGAATAACTTAACAAATGTGATATACAATATTTGTACTTACCCTGAATTTTCCTTTTATGAAGAAAATTATGTATATCAGAGGAAGGGTTTAAGTATTAAAAGTATGTGACACTAGTTTGCTTTTTCAAAATTTAGACTTGAATTTTAGCTTCTTGAAAGCATGAGTTTGGAAACTTTATTTGATAATGACTACATTAATTTGTCTCTAAAATTTCTTAGTTGCCTTTGTTGAGATGGAAGAGATCTTCAGTGCTTACAGCCATTAACTATATAGTTGATCGAGGAATAATGTTTAATCTTGGATTATTTCTTCACATGAAGGTGATTTTCTCAACATGTTAGCTTGATTTTGTCAATACATTAGCTTTCAAACACATGATTGCAACTACAAATCTTTCTTCTAAATTTTTTGGTTGCTTTTAAATTCATGATAAACTATCGTAAACCAATTTATTAATTGATATTAGGATTTAAATAGTAGTATAGTTTGCATAACATATTGTCTATTAGATACATCGATCTTAGTTTTCTATACTCTAGAGCAACCTTCCCACCAAGTCAAATGTTATTTGATTGCTAATATATTTGTGTAAAATTGAATGTGTAGACCTATGTGTTCAAGAGGTCAACTATGTATCCAAGATCCTTGATTTTTGCTATAGTATTCATGAGCATATTCGGTATAGTTATAGCATTGTTCAAGGTAAAGGAATAAAAGCTTATATATATATATATATATATTTTTTTAAATATGCATATGTTCTAGTTGCGAAAGTTAAAATTTCCTTTTGTTGACTTCATTAAGGATATACCTGACATTGAAGGTGATGAAAAATTTGGCATTCGAACTTTGGCAGTTTGCTTAGGTCCAAAGTGGGTATGTTCTTTCTATGTAGCATCTCACATGACCTAGTTGTGCTCTCATGTATCTAGGATTTTCCCTAAATATTTCCTTTTTTAAGGTATTCTGGTTTTGTATTTCACTCCTTGAAATGGCTTATGGAGCTGCCATACTTTTTGTGGGAGCAACATCTTCTTTCCTTTGGAGCAAATTGATAACGGTGATGTGCTAATTACTTGTATAAATTATCCTATAGTTATGACTGTGCAGTATTCTTTGATGTGTGTTATTAATTTATATAAGTTTCATGTCTAAAGGATTTTAATGCAATTTTATCTAAGTTCATAGAATAGTGAGTTTCAAGGAATCCAACTTATATTCTCTGTTTCAATATCATGTTGCAGTTTATGCAATACCGTTGTTAGTCAATTATCAAAAAAATTTGCAATCATGTTTACTCTTTTACAATTCTTAACTAAATTTCTTTTTTTAAAAAAAGGTAGTCATTCACTAGAGCAAACATAGACTGCATCAAGTGCACCACAATAAGGAAATTTCTAACCTTTGTTGCATAGAATAGCTTGTCTTTAGATTTATATGGATTTAATATATTGTTAGTTTCAAAATTTGGTTGTTTCAAGGTGGCATAATTTGAAGAGAAAGACTAGGTTACTTCATCAATTTTAAAATTATACTATATTGTTAGATAGATGGATATATAATGAATGTGAACATGTTTGATCCTTTCAAAAAAGTTTGACATTTATTTTCATTTTCAATGTGTTAGGGTTTGGGACATGCTTTTCTAGCATCAATCTTATGGTATCATGCCAAGTCTGTAGATGTCAAAAGCAAAGAAGAAACATTTTCCTTCTATATACTTATTTGGAAGGTAATACTTAACCTTATAAGTTCTTTTAGTCACATGGAATTGATTTTTTTAAAACTAATACATTTTAGCTCAATAATGAACTTTATAGAACAATTATTCAAAGAAAATGATCATCTCATTAATTTTGCCTTGTATTGAGAATTAATAGTTGTTCAAGATCTAATGTGAAATTAACTATGAATTAATGTCATCGTTTATCCATTGGCAAGTATATACCAATATCAACTTGTAACTAGTAGTGAGTATGAGTCATCACCACATGAACTATACATACATGATCAAATTTCATAGTTAAACTAATTAAGTAAAGAATTGACTTCAACAAATTCACATAGCCTTATCTACTATAGTTATACATTATTATTATATTATTAATATAATTTTTTTTTAATTTATTTTTCAATTCAATCGATTATCCATTAATAATTCAAAAAATTACCTTTTAATTAATAAATAATTTCTTATTTGTATCACAAAAAATCCAACGAACCTACCATTTACCTAGTCATTTCATGTTCAAACTGGATTTTGGGACTTACTAAACATATTTGGTTGGGCCATAAATCATTGGCTTGACCAAATTTTCACCCTTTTGCATCTCCCTCCCATTTTACCTTCAAAAAGTGTTCTTATTATAATCCTCTCCCAAGTCATATTTTTTTTACTTGACTGAGGTTACACCTAACACAAAAAATATAACTAGATAAATTAGCTAAATAATTATAAATATATAAAGGAATTTACTAAATACATTTCTTACAAAATTTAATTGATTTTGACATCTAAATAAAGAAAAGGCCTAGAAAGTCAAGTTAGATGTCTTCTTTTTTAAATAGATATTTCAAATAAATTTGACATCTAACAATCATTTTTGTAGCTATGTTTTTGGTTATTTAACCAAACCGTTGTTTGGCCTTTTATTTCATTTACATTAAAGACTTAAAAGTTACTCCCTTAATATGTTGTTTTTCACAAGAATTAATAAATATAATTAATAATTTAGATTTTATAATTATTAAATATTTTCCTAGTTTATCTCCTTATCTTCCATATTAATTATATTTTTTCTTTTTTACTATTTTTTTTATTTTCTACAATAAAATGTTTAAGTATAAATTAGAAGCCGACTTCCTTTATCGAGCGGCTGTCTCTGTTGACGATAAAAGCGATGGTCCGGGCTGGGCTGTTTGAAATAAGCGGTCATTTTGGTCAGTCTCAATACCACGTAGAAAAACTATTTAATAGTTCATTGATATTTCAAAATGACAATCAAAATGGGAAATTTCTATTTTAGTAAAATGTTAAATAACATGAGTTTGAGGGACTAAATCTATCTCTTTAAGAAGCAATACGAGAAGGAAAGAAGATGGAACAATGTAATGACTAGATAGCTCGAGTATAAACAACATTCATGAAAGAAGTCACCTTGATCAACCATACTTGGACAATTCCTTGTATAGCTTCAAGCCATAATTCCATCTAGCTAATTCTAATATGTTCTTGTATCAAAGACATGATCATCACAATCAAACAAACAACAAATTAAGAGGCAAGCTTGATATCGAAAGAAAAAACATATAAAAAAATATACACAACGTGTATATAAACATTCATACAATCTGAGTCTCAAGATCTTAGACCACGTATCTCTATACAAAGAGAAACACCACATTGTACAATGCATTTACCTCAACACCTGTCGTATGCACCATGCGTTGTAACGCATGCACAACTCAGAGACCTCTTACATCATCAAATTATTCAACATTACTTTAAAGAACCATCCTCACACAACCTTTGGGTATTGTTGAGATAAATTAGGAAGACTCTAGATTACTATTAATTAGGAATAGCAAAACTTAGGTATATACCTACAATGCTTGCTGTTGTGATTCAGGAATTGTGTGTATTGTTGTACACACACCAATCTTATTTATAGAGTGAATACAATAAATGATAGAGATACTAATCTCTTATATTATGGAAACTAATCTAATCATATCCCTAATTGATAGTGAGGATAATAACCATAATATATGTACCCACAATATCTGTAATATATTCACAATATCTGTAGCACTCCCCCTCAAGCTGGAGCATATATATCATATGCACCAAGCTTGTTACCAATATAATCAACCCGAGACCCTTTAAGAGATTTTGTGAACACATCTACTCACTGGTCACTAGAGTGGACAAATTCAGTGGTGATTACTCCTGAGAGCACTTTCTCTCTTACAAAATGACAATCTATTTCTACGTGTTTAGTACGCTCATGGAAGACTGGATTTGAGGCAATGTGGAGAGCAGCTTCATTATCACAGATGAGTTTAGTTCCCTGAGTGTCTCCAATTTGAAGTTGCTTGAGAAGTTGTTGTAGCCATGTAACTTCACTTGCAGCTGCTGCCATAGCACGATATTCAGCTTCCGCAGTGGATCTAGCAACTGTAATTTGCTTCTTTCTTTTCCATGAAATTAGGTTGCCTCCAATTAGAACACAATAGCCAGAGGTAGACCTTCTGTTTGATGGTGATCCTGCCCAATCAGCATCTGAATAACAGACAATTTTGGAATTGCCTTTATCCTCGTATAGTAGTCCTTGGCCCGGTGCCTTCTTGATATATCTGAGTATCCGCATTGCTGTAGTCCAATGACTATCACGAGGATCGTTAATGAATTGGCTTACCACACTTACTGGGAATGCGATGTCTGGCCTGGTGACAGTAAGATAGTTAAGTCTGCCAACAAGTCTACGATATCTTTCTGGGTCATCCAATGGCTCCCCCTGACCAGGAAGAAGCTTGATGTTGGGATCCATCGGAGTATCACTAGGGCGGCAGTCAACCATACCAGTCTCAGTGCGAATGTCCAGAGCATATTTTCTTTGGGAAATTGCAATACAGGAAGTGGAGTGAGCAACCTCGATCCCCAAAAAATATCTAAGTGGACCAAGGTCTTTCATCTGAAATTGGTGTTGAAGATGAGATTTGAGGCGACAAATACCATCGGAGTCATCATCAGTAATGATAATGTCATCAACATACACCACTAAATAAATACAAATTCTAGATAAGGAGTGAAGAAAGATAACAGAGTGGTCAGCCTCACAACGAGTCATACCAAACTCAATCAAGGCGGAGCTGAAGCGTCCAAACCAAGCACGAGGAGATTGCTTCAAGCCATAAAGAGAACGACGAAGACGACAAACAAGGTGAGTCTCACCGGAAGCAATAAAGCCAGGGGGCTGATCCATATAAACCTCTTCTTGCAATTCACCATTTAAAAAGGCATTTTTAATATCCAATTGGTGTAATGGCCAATGACGAATTGCTACCATAGCAAGAATCAAGCGAACAGACGTCATCTTGGCGACAAGGGAGAAAGTATCCCCATAATCGAGGCCATAGATTTGAGTATATCCCTTTGCAACCAATCTCGCTTTAAAGCGATCAATGCTACCATCTGGTGCAACTTTCACTGTGTACACCCATCGACAATCAACGGTATTGTCAGGTGGTAAAGGTACCAACTCCCACGTGTCACTAGTCTGCAAAGCACCCATTTCATCCAGCATCCACGGTAGTGGCAAGCGAGGCAGATTGTTTGGCTGCTCGAAGCTGAAGAAGATCTTGATAGTCAGAGCCAAAAATAGTGACATCTGTAAGAGAGGAAGAGCCGGCAGAGGAGGTAGTATTGGGCACATAAGCAACATTCGCTGATGATGACTGTTCTCGGGCCTTTTTGCGACAGTTAACTTCAAGATGACCAAAGAGGTGGCAATAATTGCAATGACGATTCTGTTTTCCACAACCTTCGTTATGTCCACTACCACGATTAGATGAGTGAGAAACAAGAGCAGAGGAGTCTGCAGCAGTTGCAGAAGGAGTAGCCACAGTATGAGAGATGGAGACACGCAACAATTGTTCACTAACAATGTCGTATGTAAGAATAATAGGGGCAGACAAAATCTGATTACAGACAGACTCAAGCTTAGGAGGAAGACCAGCAAGTGCAAGAATCATGAAGAACTGGTTTCGCTATTTCTCAAAGCTCGCCACATCAGAGGGGTAAGGCATTAAATTATTGTAATCAACAATCAGACGATCAAGCTTACTCAAATATGTCTGTATGTCCCTATTCTCAAGCTTAGTGGTCATCATAGTGGTGATGACGTTGTAAAGACGTTGAACATTATTAGCGTAAACTTTCTTGGCCTTGTGCCAAACATCGTAACATGTGTCGAATGCTTGATAAGAATGTTGAAGGTTCGGAGGAATAGAAAACCAAAGAACCGTACACAATGAGGCATCAATTTGTTGCCACTGCTCACGGTTATCGATAGCAATTGCAGAAAAATGAGTGGTTAAGTGGTCGGCACGTCCTTGACCACGGAACCAAAGCTGAATCGCAGCTGCCCAAGTGGTATAATTGGCTGCTCCGGTCAACTTTTCACACGGAATTGGAGGGATGTTGGTAAATGTCGTAGTTGAAGTAGAAGCAGCCATGAAAGACGAATATCAGTGGCGACCAGAGGTCGTTGATATGGACGACGGTCAGAGGTGGGTGGCGGCGGCGGTAGGCGACGATCAGAGACGGGCGGCGGTAGGCGACGGTCGGAGACGGGCGACGGCGACGGTCGGGGCCGGTGGTCAGAGGCAGCGACCGGATGGTGGGTGAAGGCCTCTGCAAGAAGAAAAGGAAAAAAATCTAAAGGAATAGAACCTAAGCTCTAGATACCATGTTGTGATTCAGGAATTGTGTGTATTGTTGTACACACACCAATCTTATTTATAGAGTGAATACAATAAATGATAGAGATACTAATCTCTTATATTATGGAAACTAATCTAATCATATCCCTAATTGATAGTGAGGATAATAACCATAATATATGTATCCACAATATCTGTAATATATTCACAATATCTGTAACACTTGCAAATAACATGGCTAATATGATATTTGGCCGCCTCAAATCTATCACACTCTTTGAGCATTAG